AATAAAAGAGGAGTAAATACCATTAAAATGAAGGGAAGACAAAAAAGTAGTACCAAAGGGGAGAGATATAGACCATAGCAAATGTTTTCAGTGCTGAAAGAAGATTGCTATAATTATTTAGGTATTTACAAAAAGATGGCACAATATAAGATAACTGTTATTCTCTCTCTCTCTCTCTCTCTAGTTTTTTACATGGTGATAAATCAAAAAATATATTTTTTAAAAGCACAAGAGGACAATTTGACCTTCTGTGTATAGTAGTAGATGAAAACAAACATCAAAGTCTTTTATTTGAGAAACAATCCCTCTTTAAACCTGTCTCTCAGTATAGCTAAAACTAAGCTTTGCTTCTTCATGTCCCAAATTACCAGTAACAGGAGTTTATTCTCACTATTTCTACCCCCTCATCTCCCATTCAGTCTTCAAGACATAACAATAGGACTCCTGCTCTAGCTCCTCCTCTGAAACTGCTCTCACTGTTCAGCAATAACCTCTTAGTGGACAAATCCAATAAACAAGTCTTGGTTATTTTTATATAACTTATCTTTAAAATTGGATTCTGACACCTATTTTATTGAAATTTCTTTGCTGTCAATCTCCTGGTTTCTTTTATTGTAATATTTAATGACTCTCACTCCTCCACTAGATTATAAAGGACCATGCATTTTCATTTTGACATTTCTCACAATACCTCCTTTTGGTAGAAAGGTAAGGAATGGTATGCAGAAATATCTGTTGAATTGAATGAAATAAAATACACGGAAAAGAAGATTCAACAAGTTAATACTGCAGGTATTATAATTATATTTGGTAGGATAAGATTATTTGGAGAGCACTGACAAAGAGATTTATTTGAAAGTTTCTCCTTTAGTTGTTGACCATTTACTCTCTTTGTTTCTTGATCTTCATCTGTCTCTTTTGGGTTTTGCACTTTTATCTGCATGACTCCAATAAATGGTAGTATTTCCTATGATTTCATTCTTGGACATCTCTTCACTGTGCATTTCACTCTATATGATTCTATCCATCTCCTTGGTTTGAATTGCCTCTTATATGTATGCTGGCTTTCAGTCATACACCTCTAGTGCAGATCTCCTCTTAGCCTACTTCTATATGTCCTCTTACAAGTGAAAGAAGAAAAAGATGAAGGGGAGAAATAGCCATTGAAAACTGCTCCCCTTCTAAGAGATTCCTTCTACTTTTCTCTTATGTATCTAGAACTATACAACTTGTAGTTCCCAGCTTAAGTCCTAAATTGTGATCTCTTGACTGACTTCCTTGGTCTACTCTTGATGGACATTAAACACGTCGTTCATTTACTCACGGTCTTCCCCTTGCCTTGTAACCCCTTAGTGCTCTACACCCTGTCCTAGTAAGTGCTCAGTAAATATTAATTACTTGCCATCAGTGATTTGCCTTTCTTCATGCTAAATAGAATTTTTCCTTAGGGATTTCCTACAGACTTTGTAGGAAATTGTTGGTAGCCAGAAAATTTCACAGTTATTTGAGCAAGCTCTGCCATCTTAAGCAAAAGTATTTTTCTCCAAGAAATCTATAATTATTATGGATTTGTTATTCTATAATTATTATAGAAAGATAGATCATATTCTTTTTTTATGCAACTACATCATTCAACCCCTTGAAAATGTATTATTAATTCTCACAAATCTGAAACTAGGATAGTGTCTATTGGTTTTAAAAAATACCCTAAAATATAATTTTCACAAAAGGTAAATTACAACTTTCCTGTCTGATAGCTATTAATCTCTTTGTTTTATTGTATAGAGGTCATGAAGTTAAATGAGGGAGTGACCAAAAAACTTTGGGGCCATTTAATAGTCAATGACATTATTAATGAAACATTTCATGATATTGCGATCCTTAAGGGCTTAGTATTACATAAATACAATTCATTAATTTTCCAATGAAGTTCTAAATTTCAGGAAATATTTGCTGAGTAGAGTAATTGCCTGATTGTCATTTATAAGCTTACACATAATCTCATTTAAAAAAACAAATTGTAGCAGAATGTTATACTTGTTTAATAATTTAAGGTGTGAGGGCAAGAACAATTAATGCAAATGAAGAAAATTGGACATCAAACTCATTTATTATTCTCCTTGCTCTATTAATCTATTATCAACTGGCATAATTGGTGCTCTAACTTGGTTTAATTACCATGAAATCTACAATTTAGCTAATCAAAATTTATCATCAGTTCCTCCAACAAGGTAGAAAACATTTAATAATTTTGTAATTATGAAAATACATGATGTACGATGTTATTTGTACACATGCATAAACATTACAATAGTGTAATTTTTTGAAGCAAAAATGAAGTATTATCACTTATAATCTGACTTCTGTGCTAAGTAAAATTAAAGAAAAAAATAATAATATTTTAAAGCAAGAGAGCTATTGCTTAATGGTTTTTTCTTATATATTTTGCTTGTCCTAGCTTTGTAAGTGACATATGTACACAGTCTTATATATTATGATTTTAGGGATTGTGCAAAAATCATATGAAATAAATTCTGTAACTACCTACAGTGTAAAAATACAAAATAACATGAACTATTTTCTGATTTAAAAATAAAAGCTTGAATTTTCTATTTCTTTTTAGCTCCGTAAGGCGATTATAGATCATGTGTCAGACTCCTTTTTGGATACAACAGTCCCACTTTTGGTTCTCATTGAAGCCGCCAAGAATGGCCGGGAAAAGGAAATAAAAGAATATGCTGCAATATTTCGTGAACACACCAGCAGGCTAGTAGAGGTAAGTGAACTAGAATTGTAACTATTCTAAATCCATGAGAATGAGACTCTCATTCCCCATTTACAGTTTAATTGTATTTAAATAAAAACTTTTGACAACTTATTATAAATGAGTCAGAGTTGGGCCAAGGTAAGTATATAAGTCAAATTATATAAACCATCCCCCATTGGCTTGGAAAAAGAGCAATGTATTTAGAAAGAGATGTGACATTATAATCAATATTTTTTTAAGTGTATATTTTTTTCAGAGTTACACACAGAACACTAGTTAAATGCAAATACTTTGTTTTATCCTTACAAATATTTTCTTTCCATTGTAACTAAAAAATATCTCATGCCATTTTTGTGTTGTCCTACTATTTTCATGGCTATATTACTCCTTCAGCCTTTCAAATCATATTCAATTCTATTTTGTGACTATAGAACAAGAATGTAGGATATACAGGGATAGAGTGATTCAGAATAATTAAGGGCTAGTGGATGGGGTTATCTCTTAATAGGAGCAAGAAGATTTGAGAAGACTATCATTCTCTCCTGCTTAGAAACCAAAAACATAGAAATGACTCATGATTTGGAGATCAGGGTGGCATATTGCTCAAGGAGCCATGAAGTGCTGGGTAATTCCCAGGAGACAGATGATAGAACCTATTGTATTATGGGCATGAATAATGCAGCCACAGTATAAGAAAGAGCCTGAATGGAAGAATTTTCAACACCAGTAAGGTGAAAGTACTCCCAAGCCTAGGAACTAGTGGCAGGAAGGGAGAGATGTGATTGACCAGATTCTTATACCAGAGATGATATATTTTGGTTGGTATCCATTAATATGACTGTACCAATTTTTTAGGACTAATGTGTATTCACATTGTCAGTGCCCATGCCATACCAGTTATTAAATGTTTTGACTACCATACATTCCTATACTGGCCATGAACTCTGGTGAAATATATGTTTTGGGGCCCAAATTACTTGTAAAACTTGTGAGTTAGAAATAGTCACCACCTGAATTAGAATCACAGCATTCAATATAACATCTACTTAAATATACAAATTTACCAACATCCTTACTGTGGATCCACTTGGAAGGAAGTTTCCAATGTAACTAGCATTTGCACTGTAAAGTCTATGGATCCCAGGCTTCACATCTAAAAAGTGAAAGGAGTGGAGAAATAGATGAATAATAAGATCATTTTAGCTCTAAAACTGTCCCATCTCCAGCTTTGAAATCTCCTTTGAACTTCCCAAGAATTTTGTGAGACAGAGTAACTGTTACAATTCCCATGGCCTTACTGGGAAATAAAGGTGCAAAACCCAAACCAGGCTAATGGAAGTCAGAGCTGATTTTCAGGTTTACAATTTTTAACTAATTCATTCAATTATTTATTATTTATCTAGTTTTATTTATTCTTTCTTATACTCAATCCTGAAATATTAACTATGTCCACAGGAAAATGTTAAGAGAGCAGAGTAGAAGGACCAAGTTGTTAAAGGCAGCTAACTATGTGTAGCCCCTGATAATTGTAAAAGTTTTTTCTGAAAATATATTCTCTAAGCTGAAAGTATACCGAATGGTGAAAACAACTTTTTGGTGAAATATTCTGAAAGTAAAAGTTGGTTTCTGTTAATAAACTTGCATCCTTATTCCTATTTCTTAGTTTAGTTTTTCTATGAAATGTAAATCTCGTGAGCTGCTCAGTAAGGAAGGATTCCTCGATCACATAATTTGGCTTGGGAGGGGTGGAGTTCTATATATGTTCTATATATTTCTCTTCTTTGACATTTTATATTTCTGAAAAATATAGAGTTAAAGCAACCTCTTTACTATGTCAAAATTTCCATCAAATTCGTTTACCTAAAGAACTCTTTCTTTTATGACACTTATTACTAAAGTACTGCCTTCAGGGAACACTTGAGAATGCTACTTTAATTTATTACCAAATGATGGTTTATTATCCTGTAGACAGAACTCTAAGACTCTGTTATAAATGTTTAAGGATTTTCAAAGTTCTTTATTTTACGTGAATATTGAAAGATTAATAGATTTTGGAATTTTGAGCTACCAAGAATATGTGTAATTTAACTCTGTATGTTCCCTTAACACATTATAATAAGATGATGCTAGAGTGAGAGTCTTCTAGTTCTTATTGTGGTATACTTAGAAACTGGTGAAAGTCATTTTCAGTTCCAGTTAGCTTTTACAATGTAACAAACCATCTCCAAATTTAGTGGCTTACAACAACCATCTATTATTCTCTCACTGATCTGTGGGTTGACTGGGTAGAGCTGGGCAATTCTCACTTAGAGTCTGATGTGTTTGCTATAAAATATTAGATAGAAATATAGCCCTTCAAAGGTTTGACTAGACTGGACATGCGATGACACATTCACATAACTGAAAGTGCATGTTAGCTGTCAGCTGGGAGCTTAGCTGTGGTTGTTGACTGGAGCAGCAATATATGTTCTCTCTGTGTGGCTTCAGTTTCTTGAAGCATATAGTTATTGGATTTTGAGATGAGAAGTCTCAAGAGCAAGCCAGAGACAGAAAGTAGAAGCTAACATTCTCTTAAGGCCTGGGCCCAGAAATTGGCAGAGTGTCACTTTTGTATTTCATTGGTCAATGTAATCACAGAGCTGGCCCAAAGAAAGGAAGGGGTGGCAGGTGGGGACCATGAGACTCAATCTCTCAGTGGAAGGAATAGCAGAGTATTTGTGGCCCCCTTCAATCTACTAGACTTCTTAGGGCTTCATTTGCTTTATCTATAAAGTAAAGGTTAAACAAAATAATGTCTAAGGCCGCTATCAGTTTCTAAACTTCTATGAACTAGCAAATAGTTTTTACAATCGAGAGACTTCTATTTTTCTAAGAGATACAGACATAGAGGAAAATGAAAATGACTTTTAAGTATACTGCCTGCATACTGGGTTCTTTATCAAGAAGGAAACAGAAAAATTCTTTTTTGAAAATAACTGTCTAATCAAAGCAACAGAGAAAACCATCACTAATTTATTACAAACATTGAGACAGAAGTGTTTATGACAGAGTCCAGGGAAATAGGAGAGCTTAAATATACCATTTCAAAGTACATTCTGAGTTCGATTGGTGTATAGATTGCTCACCAATTCTCTACCTCCCTTCTTTCTACCAGCCCCCTACACAGACAGGTACATATATCCATCTTATTCCTAAGCTGTGGAATTTGACTTAGCAGGGCAGAAAGTCTTAGATTCTAAATGGCTTCAAGAAAAAGCTATGTTCAACAATCCTGGGTTTTGATATGTCAACCATGTTTGTCAGAGAAATCTAAAATCAGCGAACTTGTTGAAGTAAGCCTTAAATGGAAAAAAGTCCACTTTTAAAGAATTCTTATAAGATCTTTGGAAAAGCTCCATGCTGTTAAAGGAACATTTTAGATAATGGTTAAATTGTGATTTTTATAAAAAGATAGTAAAAAGTGGAATTGAACACAAAGCAAAAACACCAAGCATTAAGAAATTATACGAGTAATAATTAGAAAACCAAAAGGTATTAGAGAAAATAAATGGGAATGAGAAACAAAGTAGCTAATAATTAGGCCTGAACATTCCCATTCTCTAATGGAGCCATGTCTGAGGTCTTCTGTTACATTATCATGTAGTTTGGCATAAAAATATAAAATGATCATGAGTGAAATGACAGTTATAAAATCCTAGATAGTGCCAATAACTGGAGAACCTAGATCCTTACAACTGTTTTATTTTGTTATACAGAACTAAGTAACTTTTAGGCAAAGCTTTTCTCACTTTGAGCATCCAAGTTACTCTATTTTGGGATCCACCAAGCCACAGTGGGAAGGAGAAGCAGGAGTCAAGAGGTTGTCATCTTAAAAGTCATCTTCTCTTAGTGATTAGTAATTAATGACATATGTGCTCATTGAATTATGCTACCTAGTACTTTGATCTTGCACCGATGATGACTTAGGGCACCGTTAACTCAACTGGCTTCCACCAATAATACCTATTAAACAGAAAGTTTAAAATATTAATTTTGTCTTAAAAGTAATTCCAGAAAGGAGAAATTTTACTTTAATCATTTTGAGCCTCCTCGAATAGCAAGTCTTTACAGCTAGTGCACAATATATCTGTATTGAATGTAGGGACACATTCATAACAGTAGCTCGGTTTTTCTCTCTAAAAAGTTGACTTTTGAGATTTCAGTAACTGAACTTGAGAAATATGCCTAAGCCCAATTATTTAGTAGAGTACCTTCCTACTCTACCATTCTGGGATACATTAATTATTCACAGTGGTTTAGCAAATGACTTTGCTATTAATTGTCAAAAGCAGACACTACAAACACTGCTCTAGATTTCCCTCAGAAGGAGTTTGTGACAATTTGATAACATCTTTAAAGAACTTAGCCTGCTTCAGAGATATAGTTTATAACTTTAATGTGGTAATAGAACTTTTATTCAGAAGAATGCCATTAAATTCAACAAATGTATTGTTTATTATAATGGCTATTATTTAATATTTCTCTAAACTTAATTTTTAAAAACTCTTCTATAATTTCTGAATCATATTATAGTTTGTTCTCAGCAAGTTAGTTCATGCTAAACACTACAGCTGCTACCAACTGAAACAGTAAAATCTCCAGTTTATTCCATGGATTTACCATATTAATCATTATTAAATATGAGTGTTAATGACCTAGGCCTGAAAGTTTTCTATGAATTTGAAAAGTTTCTCTATGTGAAAAGCCAGCTTTGTCAGTACTTTGACTTACTCATCAAAAATTTATCTGTCTTTATGCACTTTATTTTAGTAAGTTTCATGGGAGCCTTTCATCAAAAAGGAAAAAGTGGGTGGACATTTAATTATAATACTTCCTTCCAACCTACAAAGCTGATTGTTCCCACTCACAAAATGGTGAGCCAGATTTAGCAAAGCCCTGGTGCCAAGAGAGAAGGCTTTAGAGGGGACTCTTTCTTTTTGTAAGAAATGCTTATTACTGTCAGCTCCACT